CCTTCTCCTTCTCCTTCTCCTTCTCCTTCTCCTTCTCCTTCTCCTTCGCTAGGGATGGAACGTAGGGATCCACACAAGCTAGGCAGATGTTCTGACATAAAGCTACCCCAGGCCTTAAATATCTTTAAAAATGGAAGGTGGTCTCCTGGTTCAGAAATGGGTTCCTGTCTGGTGCAAGGGGAATGGCTGGGATCCGCGGCTGAGATGCCAGAGGGAGTGTTTTAAGTGGCGAGGTACAGGGACAAGGAAGCGGGGCTCGGGGTTGGCCTGCCACCTTCCAAGTTCTGGTCCTAGCAGGTTACTCAGCTTCCCTAAGTATCAGTTCCCTTCTTGGTGAAATAGGTTAGAAACAGAATTCTCGCAGGATGGTTGTGAGCATGAAGCAATTATGTAAAATGCTTGGCACTGCCGGGTGTGGTGGCACATGCCTGTAATCGCAGCAGTTCAGGAGGCTGAGACAGGAGAATCAAAGGAGTTCAAAGCCAGACTCAACAATGGCGAGGCACTAAGCAACTCAGTGAGACCCTGTCTCTAAATAAGATACAAAATAGGGCTGGGGATGTGGCTCAGTGGTCAAGTGCCGCTGAGTTCACTTTCCGGTACAAAAAAAAAAAAAAGCTTGGCACAGTACCCAGCACATGTGGTGTGTAGGATAAATGTCACCACTTACCTGAATGGGCCAAGATATCTAGAATTGTCTGGAGAGGGGTCAGAGCTCTGGGGGACTCTTCACAGACTTCCTGCCTTGTTTTTCCAGAAAGAAAGATGTTCCAAAAAGAGAAATCAAGCTCTTTAGCTTTCTGTGTGCCTCATGATGAGGTCTCAGTTTACACCTGCTCATGCTCTGGGAAGGCATCAAGGAGAGACGAGGATTTGCTGTTTTCTTGACTTTCTGGAGAAGGAGTCTGGGGTGGGGGCAGGCTGAGGGTGTGATTCAGTGGTAGAGTGCTTGCCTAGTATGCATGAGGTTCTGGGTTGAATCCACAGTATTGCAAAAAAAAATTAAAAATAAATCTAAATTCTAAAAAATAGTCCTCAAGAAAAGGAGCCTGGGAATCCTAGGAAGATGTGGGCAGTGGTGGCAGGAGTGAGGACAGTTATGGTTCACCTCCCGGGGGGATTTTTATTGTTTCAGTGACCATAGGATAGTCAGGGGTGAGGAGGGGTCCCCTGTCACTCCCTCAGCTGGCTGGCTACGTTTGCAACCCTCCTTCCTCTCTTCCAGGGCTACACAAAATACACCAACCTAGCTCACAGCCAGCACCACTCTGTGGTGCCAGGGGGGATGCTGGGTAGGGTGCTGGTCTAGTCGCATTAAGCTCCTTGTGTGAAGCTTGTGCTACTGTGGGGGAAAGTCCGAGATGGATAATAAACTCTACCACGATGTTTGCTGCGCTGTTCTCTGTGCGCATGATATGATCTAATTAATTTAAAACAATTAAAGAAAGAAGCAGAAAGATGAAGGAAAGAATCTGGGTGAGAGAATTAGAAAAGGCAACAAGTGTCGCAGGGTCTGGCGCTATCTAACATGTCCCTTGCATCCCAGCTCAGTGATTGATAGAAGAGGAGCTTGTCCTCTGGGGAGAGAGTGGCAGCTTCACCATGGCCAAGCAATTACTAGGAGACGCTCCTGCCTCCCTTTCCCATCACAGGAATGATTCTAAGCAGATACACTGGAGTGTTATAACAAAAGGGTGTTGCTGTCTTCCGAGGGCAAACATAAACCAAATGTGCTTTTATGGTTCTTCAGATCTGTTGCCTAACTGCATGGCATAGTGCTAACCCTGTTTTTCTTATGACATTTTTTAAAAAAATAATTTCTTTTCACCCCTGTTGAGGAAGTAAGCTGTGTTGAGTCATAGTAGTGTGATAGACACACAAATGTGCTCCCCAGGACTTGAGAGAGGACTGAAGAAGACCATATTGAGCTTTCTGGGGGGTGAGGGTGGGAACTTGGGGTGGGGGAGGGGAGGGCGCTTATTCAATTGATTCAAGAAACCCAAGGAAGAGACTCGGACTGGGCAGCTTGACTTCTACCCCTTTCTGCAGGACATGAAGGTACAACGTGTTTCCCTCTGGCTACTGAGTGCAATGCTCATTCTGTGCTCAGCGTACACGCGCTCTCTCAGGAGATGTCCAATTTCCGTGGACATGAGCCATCTAGAAGAGAGTTTCCAAGAAATCAAAAGAGCCATTGTGAGTATGGGTTGGTGACGGTGTGGGCAAGGGGCGTGTCTCACCTGACATCTTAGCTTGGAAGGCAAGTTCTTTCTTGCAGCCTTTTGCATCTCAGGATACCATGGAGTACTTAATGCTTGTGTCTGTCCTTCTGTTTCTCTCCATAGCAAACTAAGGACAACTTCCAAAATGTCACCATCCTGTCCACCTTGGGGGCCCTGCAGAAAACTAAGGTATTCGTCTGAGTCTTCTTTTTACTATAGTGTTATCATTACAGTGAAATGACTCTGGGCTGAGAAAGAAATCCCCACCTGTCCCCTTCTTGTTCCTAATGTCCAGTGCACTCTCCACACAGCAGGCTTCTCAAGTGTCAACCAATGGGTGAGGTATGCTACTGTCCCAGAGACCTTGAAACCCCTGGTACCAATTTCCTAGAGAAAAATGGGAGTGCCAGGCACACAGAGGGGATAGGATTTCCATGACTTGGGGATGATTTTGGAAGCTTCCATGGGGGGGACATGAAAACATAAACATGGTGGTTTAAAAGCTGAGAAATTTGTAGATGAGTGGGTAAAAGAGAAGAAGGTATTTGGGGAATGTGGGAGGGCAGGTGGAAGATCAATGAAGGTGGACACGTGTGCTTAGGAAAGTGAGGTGACCAGGTTGTGATGCAAGGACATGCAGATGGGGTGAGGTGAGTCATTGCATAATGTCCTTGGCTTTATAAGATGCCAAGAGAGGCTTTATAAGAGAGGCAATAGTTACAGAAGGTTTTGGAGACAAAAACTATCTTATCACACAGTATATTACAAAGACAGTCTGGTAAATGTGCTTTCTGGTGGCAACTGGAGACAGCAAAATTAGTCCTGCCATCAACCCAGCTGTGGATCACCCACTTCATGAAAAGAACCTTTATAGTGAACAATTTTAGACCTTGAATGCATTCTAGAAAGATCCAGTGTTTTCCAGGGATGACATATTACAAAGAAATCGAGACCTTGAAAGGGAGAATGACAAGTTAGTGGCTGAGTCAGTAATAGACCCCAAGTTTATGCTTCCATCTCTAGGTTCTTTCTCCTCTGAAGGCTGGAAATATTTGATGTGGAATAAGGAAAGTCATCAAATCTTTAATGTACCCCTTATTTTTCCCCTTTCTCTCTTTTTTTTCTGTGCTCTTTTCTAATGCCACAATATTTGAGAATACAGAGGTGTGTAATTTTTGCGCATCTGGTTAAGGGACCCAGTAAGAGTGGAAGAAGGAAAGGCTTTGTGTAGCAGTAGGCTTTACCGCAATCTAGGAAAAGCTGCCCTGGGGCCAAGGAGGCTTTTACTGCTTTAATGCTACTGGGGATAGATGTGCTGTGCTGTGCTGTCCCTCTGGGGGACCACACCCTTCTTAGACTGAGCTGTAAATCTGCAGAGTAATTTGCTGGCAGGGCAGAGAGCAAATTGCTACCAGGAGACACTGTCCTGCCAGCTTCTCTGGGCTGTGTCTGCTGATTTAGGAGCCCTTTCTAGGACAGATCTGCATTCTGCAGGCCACAGACCTACCCAGATGTACCCATATCCACAGCTATCAATCTCCATTCTTGCAAATCTCAGCCCCATTCCAATGATCCCTGTGGCTTAAAAAGACAAACTGGAAGAGTTCAGCAGTGTGGTCCAGAGCAGGGTGGTGAGGATGTGCCACAGTCTGGCTGGGCACAAATGCCGCATCAAACAAAAGAGAAGGTCTCTCGAGCTAGTCAGACAGAGGAAGAAAATTTAAAGGAAAAGGGGTTGTTAGGAAAAAGGCCACAACAGGAGGCTGTTACTAACTCCGTTTTATCACAAGAGGGCGTAATTCAACCAACAGCCCCACCGATGGAGACAGCTGAGTGGCCCTCAAACCCCGTAGTTGATAAATGGGATCCTGAGACAGGACCTCAAAGATTAGCATGCCCTGTACTTGAACAGGCAGGAGGGCAGCGAATTCACCGTGCTTTAGATTTTAAAACAGTGAAGCAGTTAAAGGAGGCTGTAACAACCTATGGTCCCCAAGCTCCCTTCACGGTAAGCATGGTCGAGTCCATTACTAACTTGGACATGACGCCAGCAGATTGGGCTAGCATGTGTAAATCTGTACTAAATGGAGGACAATATTTGTTATGGAAGGTTGCCAATGAGGAATTTTGCACGGAGACAGCTAGGCGAAATGCAGCAGCCGGTTACCCTCAAAGAAATCTAGATATGTTGTTAGGAAAAGGACCTTATGAGGGTCAACGGCAACAAATTGAATATGATCCTGCTATATATGCACAAATGCCGCAGTCTGGCTGGGCACACAATCACGAGCCACCACACAGCTTGTAGATTCAAACAGCAACTCTTTATTCCCAAACTCACACCAGCCGTCTACAATCACGTTCTGGGGAAATCCACGTTCTCTGCCCAAATCCACGTTCTCTGCCCAAATCCACCTCCACTGGGCATCTATCTCCAAAATATACTGTCTGAATCCCGTGAGAACTCAAGGGGAACTCAAGCAGCAGGATACGCCCTATTCCCAGCAGGAATAATCTTAAACCTTAAACCTGGAACCTAAACCGGGAACGCCCTAATCCGCCTTGGTCCTTGAGCAAGGTCACCTACATTCAATGTCACTGCAACATGGGGTACGCTGGCAAGGAAATTGTCATACCTACTTGGCTAATGGCTCCCAGCAAGGATGAACACAGCGTAGCCAAGAATATTGAAGGATGGGAAATGTGGCGGAGCCTCTGGTGATACAAGGAAGTACTTGTCAAGAAAGCTGCTCTGCCTTCAGTTCTTTTAAAAGGGAGACACCTTATTTCTGGAAGAATTTAAATAGAACTTGGTGAGGATATGTTGGGGATGCTGTAGAAAGAATTCTAGTCTAAGATTGGATTCTGCGCCCCAACTTTTGTTAATATTACTCCTGGCTGTTCAGAAAGAGGGAGAAGCTAGAATCTCTCCTCTTCTCACCAGTTTCCTCCTAAGTGACTTTGCTATGGTAGAATGGATGGATTTAAAAAAAATGATTTTTTAGTTCTCTTGCTTCTTGCTGCCCCTACTCAAATGGACTGCTTTGGTCTCTAAGATAACCAAATTAGAGCATCTCTGATTTGTGTCTGTAGCCTTTAGATGTGTGCTGTGTGACCAAGAACCTCCTGGCATTCTACGTGGACAGGGTATTCAAGGATCATCAGGAGTCGGACCCCCAAATCTTGAGAAAAATCAGCAGCATTGCCAACTCCTTCCTCTACATGCAGAAAACTCTGCAGCAATGTGTGAGTTAGCACCTCAGGACTCCAGGCATCTGGTCCTGGTCTGCCCAGGGAGGGGCTGGGACAAGCTGACTCCAGCTGGCCTCTGGTTGGGCTTCTGGAACCACGGGAAATTCCCTGCCCTGTGGTCCATGCAGAGAATCAGGAACCTCTTCCAGTGGTCACTCCTTTCCAGTGTTTCCTGCTTCCTGACACCTCATCTGACAGTGTCCTCATGGGCAATCCTCCTGGGGTGACCAACTTATGTGCAAATATTTCTTAAGTGGTCTGTGAGAAAGCCGGGGCCAAGATTCTAGTTTTACTACAAGTGCACCCCTTAGTCTTTTCGTTTTTGATCCTTTGGGGTTTCCGTACCAGGTGACCGCTGAACAGCTTCTTGGTATAGACTACGTCTAAGGGTCACCTGTAAGTTTATTGGGATCTATTAAAATCAAAACCAAAACTAACCAATGAAAACTTAGACCTGGAGAAAACCTGGGTTCTGTCCCTTCCCTGCTGATGATTTCTTGTGTGATATGGCAGATGGCTTTGCCTTTCCCTGCCTTAGGTTCTCAAATCGTTAGAAGGAGGAAATGATCTGGTCCTGTCCTGCAATAATGAAATCAAATGGATACATTTAAACAGCTACTTAATTAATTAACCTATAACAAGTATAGGATTGCTGTACTCAGAGAGTGGTGACAGGGTAGATACAGGAGCTCTGTTGGTGCTATCTGTGGGCTGTAAATCCAGAAAAAGCAAAAGCCATGGTCAAATGCAGGCTAAGTCCACAAACAAGCCCTATTGTCCTCTGGCTGCTCCAGGAGACTATATAATAATTCACTCACCTCCCACTGACTTTCTCTGTGGGAGAGAGGAAGAATGTCACTTTTCTTGTGGGGAGGTGGTGTAAGAACTGGACAGGGTGGAAAGGTTCTCTGATAGGCGCCACATTGTATCACAGCAGGTGCAGAGACAATGTCGATGTAGTCAGGAAGCCACCAATGCCACCAAAATCATCCATGACAACTATGATCAGGTAAGATCTGGGAGGATGGAGGGGAGGGCTAATTGGCTAGTTCCCTTTTCCACCATCCCTCTACCATTTTCTTAGAACCCTTTCATAGCAGGACTGACCTGTGTCCTGATTTGAAGAAAGCACACGCTGTGTAAGATGGGGGTGATGCAGAGGGAGCAAAGGTGGGCAGCGGGTCCTGCACTGCTAGGCATGACATGTGCTACCTGCATGGTGACCTGGTGGTCACTCCTGCCATGGTGTTCTGTGTGCAAGAAACACCTGGCACTTCTCATGCAGGTGTCAATGAAGAGACGGGGCTTCTTGATGCATCACTGGATGATCTTACTGAAGGGCAGATTCTGGTTGTGTGGGTCTGCAGTGAGGCCTGGATTTCTGCCTTCTAACCACACTCCCAAATGATGTTGATGCTTTGGAGAGCAAGGAGGTTGGGGTCCATTCAGAGCTCTGCTACTTTGGGGACAGGCACCACTGGATAGACAGATTTCTAGAAAAAGCTGAGTCAAGTGGCTGTTACCACAAGCCAGGTATCGTCCTAAGCCCACTATAAGTGTTGGCTCATGGATCCTCACAGAAATGCTACGAGTATTATCTACCATTGATAAATTAGAAAATCAAGGCACAAACAGGTTAAGTTACTCAGTGAAGGTCGCCCTGCAGCAAAGTAGTGGTGGTGGGATTTGGTCCCACCTTGGATGACTCCAATGGATGTGCCATTAGATCTTGCCACCTCCTGGTCTGTGAGGAGGAGGAATGGAAGCTGTATTTTAATTTGACTCTTGCTAACTGTCCAAATGACGTGGGGCAAGGCACTCACCCATACGGGCTTCAGGGCTTTGCTGTATCAAATGGAGACAACATGTTCTCCATACCCACCAGCAATCACAGAGGGGACCAAGGCTTCCTGGAAGAACAAAAATACCAAAGCAAGCTGATACGAAAAGAAAATAAACAGAAGACCTAAACAGTAAAGGGAATTTTTCCTATGAGAAATGGGGTAGGGGGACAAGGGGGAAAGAATGGAGTACTTCTTACTTTGTGCGTAAGGAGTTGACATGAAATTAACCAATAAATGGTGGAAACAAAATTTTGGTTGCCATGCAAATACATTGGGCAAATAAAAAGAAAACCCATGAGGACCAGAAAGTGGGAAAAGTGATTCGCACACTTTGGCACGTCTATAAATGTCACCTTCATGATGATTTCATTGTTTTCAGCTGGAGGTCCCGTCTGCCGCTGTTAAGTCCCTGGGAGAACTCAATGTCTTTCTAGCCTGGATTGGCAAGAATCATCAGGAAACTTCTGCTGCTTGACACGAGGGGCCCATCTAATTATCCGGGGACAAATACCCCTGCGAGGACTCTTATGGGACACAGCCGACTTTGAAGGGGAGTGAGATGGGGAAGACATCCATGTTTATCCAAATGAGGGTCCTTTCAATGGACCTCCCTACTGATGTGGAATTCTGTCCCGGGGCTGGGGCCTTGCAGGGAAAACCTGGGTTCAAGCAGATCTCACCCTACAGCTGGAAGTCCCACTGGCTGGTCTCAGGCTGTCTAATCACACATGAAAGTAGCCAAATAGCCTACCCTGGTATTTATAATGAAATATGTCTGTTGAAAGGTCCCAACAGCTATCCTGGAAGGAGAGGGTTGGCTCCCCACTAATTTATTGTGAAGTTGTGTATCCCATGTCTGTGATGTTGAGCTGAAGGGTCTCGTAGTACATATTGTACCAACTGACATTTCTGAATAAACTCCATGCTTTACCAGTAAGTGCAAATGTCTTCTGATTCAGGGACAGTCTGTCAAGGAACCATAAATGAGACATTAGAAATCAAAGAGATCTGGAAGAACATAAAAGATGGGGAAGCTGAGGTCTTGGGGGGATAAGAATTTACCCAGGGCTCAAAACAAATTAGTACAGAAAAGTATTCAAAACTGGGTATAGGACTTCATTTTTTTTCTGTAAGAAAATACCTGAAAAGGGAAGAGCCCTAATATCCAGAGTATACAAAGAACTCAAAAAATTAGACAATAAGAGAACAAACAACCCAATCAACAAATGGGCCAAGGACCTGAACAGACACTTCTCAGAGGAGGACATACAGTCAAACAACAAGTACATGAAAAAATGCTCACCATCTCTAGCTGTCAGAGAAATGCAAATCAAAACCACCCTAAGATACCATCTCACTCCAGTAAGATTGGCAGCCATTATGAAGTCAAACAACAACAAGTGCTGGCGAGGATGTGGGGAAAAGGGTACACTTGTACATTGCTGGTGGGACTGCAGATTGGTGCAGCCAATTTGGAAAGCAGTATGGAGATTTCTTGGAAAGCTGGGAATGGAGCCACCATTTGACCCAGCTATTCCCCTTCTTGGTCTATTCCCTAAAGACCTAAAAAGAGCATGCTACAGGGACACTGCTACATCGATGTTCATAGCAGCACAGTTCACAATAGCAAGACTGTGGAACCAACCTAGATGCCCTTCAATAGACGAATGGATAAAAAAAATGTGGCATTTATACACAATGGAGTATTACTCTGCATTAAAAAATGACAAAATCATAGAATTTACAGGGAAATGGATGGCATTAGAGCAGATTATGCTAAGTGAAGCTAGCCAATCCCTAAAAAACAAATGCCAAATGTCTTCTTTGATATAAGGAGAGTAACTAAGATCAGAGTAGGGACGAAGAGCAGGAGAAGAAGATTAACATTAAACAGGGATGAGAGGTGGGAGGGAAAGGGAGAGAGAAGGGAAATTGCATGGAAATGGAAGGAGACCCTCAGGGTTATACAGTGGAGGGGGTAGAGAGAGAGGAGGGGAGGGGAGGGGAGAGGTGGGGAGGGGGGAGGGTGGAGGATGGGAAAGGCAGCGGAGCACAACAGACACTAGTATGGCAATATGTAAATCAATGGATGTGTAACTGATGTGATTCTGCAATCTGTGTATGGGGTGAAGGTGGGAGTTCATAACCCACTTGAATCAAAGTGTGGAATATGATATGTCAAGAAATTTGTAATGTTTTGAACAACCAACAATAAAAAATTAAAATTAAAAAAAAAAAAAAGAAAATACCTGAGGCTGGGTAACTTTTATAAAGAAAAGGTTTATTTAGCTCCTGGTTCTGTAGGTTTGAGGGCTCTGTAGGCTCAGGGGCACGGAAATGGCGTTGGCTCTGCTCTGGGGAGTACTTCATGACAGATCAAGATGGAGGGAGCCTGAGGTGGGGGAAGACATTGCATCTTCAGACAGGAAGCCAGGGAGTGCTTCAGGGGTTGGGTTTACTCTAAACAACTTTCTCTCTCAAAAACTAACTCAGTTTCCATGAGAACCACCTTCATTCATTCTGAGGGTAGAGCCTTCAATGACTGAAGAGTTTCACTAGGCCCCACCTTTTAAAGGTCTTACCTCCTCTCACATTGCCATACTGAGGACCTCAAACCCATGAAACCATGAGAGGTATCCTCAAACCACATCCACCAGAGCACTGGGTCTCAAAGCTCTTCATTCCACCCTTTCTTCCATGTAAAGATCAAGAAGTTGGGACAGAGGGCCTGTGACCACTGACTGTTCCTCCACATCCCTCCATTTCTGAGTCTCTTATTTTATCTGTCTTCCCTCTGTCACTCTGATTTTGTCTTTCTCTGGTCCTTCTTTCTTACTGTTCCCAGCCTAGCTATATCTTCTCTGATCCTAATCCATTCTCCAAGGGAGTATGTGTTGGGCTGGGGAGAGTACCTTTCTGACCAAGGGATGATTGTCACGGTGACATACCTAAACAAATACTGCACACAGGCATGGTGCACCCTGGGCAGAGTGTCCACTTCTAGGTGGACAGTCCACAGATGACTCAGAACAAATACCCATCTTTAATAATGAGGAGAACATAAAACTGACATCTAGTGAGCATCAAGCTCAGTGCTAAGGGGCTAAGTCCTTTACATGTGTCATCCTGGGCAGTGACATACTGTAACCGGCTGGTTGAAACAACCTTTCTTCATTTCTGCCTGAGGACGCGCTCTCACAGTGCATGCTGTCGTGGAGAGAGCCAGGCCTCCCAAGTCAGCAGACCTGGTTTGGAGCTCTGTGACTTGGAACACAGATCTTAACGTCTCCAAGTCTCAGCGTCTTCTCCTATAAAATGCAGATACCAGTGGCAGACTCAGAGTGTCCCTGTGGGTATCCAGTGAGGTTAAGGACAACCTCAGCAGAGTAGGAGGCTGCGAGGTGTAGTGCAGGCAAGGCCAACCCAGAGCCACTTAGTGATCTTACTATGAACTGCCTGGGACAAGCCAACATATTTCTTGGGACCTTACTTGTAATGTGGACCGTGACCCCCCGACTACCTACCCTATAGGATAATTTAAAATCATTAAGAGTTATTAGGATGGTGCCTCCATTCCACTTCTAACAGTCCCCTACTGCTTTCCCAGGCTCACTGTGACAACCATTCCCATCTACTTTGTGTTCCTCCAGGGTCCTGGACCTGTTCTTATTGTAGGACTTGCACATTTGCAAACTGAGGCAGAAATTTAATTTTTTTTCATGGGCTTCATAGGCTATTAAGAAGGTGGAAGTTTGTTGGCAGAGGATCCACGCTTTCCAAGGAGAACTTGGATGGCATTCACATGGAGATGGCTGGATGACGGCAATTCCAGCATTGGCCATCTTTTAGACAGCCTGGGTGTACTTCCCAAACCCCTGCCCAACTTGTACCCTGCCATTGGAGTTGTGCTATTTGAGCAAAACCACCCCATCCCATTTCCACCTTCAGTAAAACCTACATCCCTTTCCTGTTTTCCTAGCTTCCTATATTGTTTATCATCTGTTTCTCACTTGAGTGGAAGCTCTATGAGTATAGGAGCAGTTTGGCTTGTTTGTTGCCTGGCATTTAGTAGGTGTTGAATTCACAATGTTTAAGTACCTTATTTGGATGAATGAAAACAACAATAATAGTAAATATTTATATAGTGCTTTTTATATTCCAGGCAATGGCCTAAGAAATATACATAAAAAAGAATATTATAGTCTAAATTATATTTCCTTTAGTTCTACCAACAACTCTATAGAAGTTTTAAGAATGGAATAAAATGAAAAAGGTCCCCTCCTAAATGCTGGTAGTACAGATCAGCCAACCCTAAGGAGGAAGTTGGCATAGAGAGGTTAAGTAATTCATCTAAATTCACACTGCTCCTAAGGAGCAGATTCAGGCTTCCAATCCAGGCTACCTGGTCTCAGAAGAAACTAAAATTTCAACAACGATGTAAACATGTTGAATACTCATTATGTGGCAGGTACTGAGGTGAAACCTTAACTTACATTTTCCCTATCACTCTGAATGTTAATCCTATAAAGTAGAAGTGATCAACAAACCTCATGACCCAAGTGAAGAAGTCTGAAGCTTAGTAAGGTTCAATAATATACCTATGGCCATGTAGCTCGTTGTGGAACTAGAGTTCAACTCAAGGCATCCTACCCCAAAGCCTGGGCCCTCCACCATGATGGTATGTGGCCAGGCATCTTGCTTGAGTGATTAGATGCTGGGAAAAGAAGATTTACTGGCATAAGAGCTATGTCTGCCAAAAAGAAATACTGTCATTGTCACTGGTGGAAGAAGGGCTGGTAACGAAGAAAGAGGAGGGGGAGGAGACATTGGAGGAGAGAGCTCTCCCTCTCTGACCTTGACTCATTTTACTTGAAACTCCTGAATCTCTGTGTGTGTGTGTGTGTCTTCCCACTGTCTACCTGTTATTTCTTTCCTTTGAGGCTTGAAGAGCATATCCTGACTCTTTCTTAAGTATACAGTGGGCCTGCCACAGAATTGGGTTTTTTTCCCCCCTTCTCAAATCTGATGCTTAAGAAAAAAACACCTGCTAAAGAACCCAGTATAAAATTCTCTCCCAAACCTCACCTTCCAAGTCCTTTATCAGCCACTGGAAGAGATCCTGAAAAATCTAGAGCTCATCCTTAACTGCTAAGGTGCCAGGGGAAGGAATCCACCCCATCTGTCAGGGCTGCACCAGGCAGTTTACAGGCAGGATCTTGTCAAGCCTCCAAGGAGGTTGAAGATCTTGTCCCCATGGGGTCAGTTAAGATGTATGAGACTCAGAGAGGTGGGGGACTTGCCCAAGGCCTCATGGCTAAGGGACAGCTGATCTAGAAGGTGAGTCCAGGCCCTGTCTTCCTGGTCCTGGTGCTTTTTCCTCCTGTTATGGGGGAATATCGCCTTGTTCTGGCCAAGGTTATATAACCCAGGGCCCAGGTTACTGAGTTGAATGACAGCAATGCAGATAATCAAACCCAGATACATCAAAAGGGGTCTGGACTTACTAGAACAAGCCTCTGAAGTTGCACACAGATTTATTGACCAACACAGAGCAAAGGAGCAGAGGCTGGCTTCTGAATGTGTCACACAATGTTCCCAGCCCAGCTGAAAGCCTGGGCTCCTCCTCGGGAACACTCTAGCCTCCTTCCATCTTCCAGAGCAAACCTCTAATAGCTACACAGGTTCAAGACTACTGTTTTTTTTTTTTTTTTAATTGCCT